TGCTACTTGATGAGGATGTGTATTCCTCCTTAATGTAGAGCGCCACACCCCCACCTTTGCTCCCTGTCCTGTCCCTCCTGTACAGCCTATAGCCCTTAATATTCACTGCCCAGTTGTGCGTTGGGTCCCACCACATTTCTGTGAGCCCCACTATGTCTGGGTTGGTGTCAGCTAGCAGGAGGGTAAGTTCCTCCTACTTGTTTCCCATACTACGAGCGTTTGTGTAGAGGCATTTGAGGCCTCCTGAAGATGTGTGCACTGGCCCCCTAAACTCAGCATTGCCCTGCCCCTGTTGTTTACCTGGGTATTTGTTCTGCTTGTCAGTCTAGGCTGGGCTGTACTTGTGGGTGCCGCTTGGTTTAGTGGTCCAAGGCTTCCTCCGACCTCATCTTCCCCTTCCCCCGACAAGCCTAGTTTAAAGCCCGCTGGAGGAGATCCACCAACGTAGAAGAGAACACATGCTTACCTTTGGGGGAAAGGTGAAGCCCATCCCACCGAAGCATGTCTCTCTCGTCGTGATGTGTGGGTCGTTGTCTAGGAAGCTGAAGCCTGCCTCAAGACACCATTCCCGAAGCTGCCAGTTGGTCTCTGTGATGCAGGTCTCATGTCATCTTCCACATCCACTCACTTCCCCGGGATACAGGTCAGGCGGATGGGCCTGTAGTTTGCTGGATACACTTTCCTCCCTTTCTTGAAGATAGGCACCACATTGTCCTTCTTCCAATCTTTGAGCACTTCACCAGAGCACCAGGAGTTCTCAAAGATCCATGTCCCTCAGCCTGGATTCCCTGGGGCAGTTCCCTCAGCCTGTCCTCATAAATCATGTGCCCCAGCCCCCTCACCATTTTCCTTGCCCTCTGCTGGACTCCCTCCAATTTGTCCACATCGTTTCTGTAGTGGGGGCCCAAAACTGAACACAGTACTCTAGATGTGGCTTCACCAGTGCTGAATAGAGAATAATCACTTCCCTTGATCTGCTGGCAACACACCTACCAATGCAGCCCAGTATGCTGTTACCCTCCTTGGCAACAAGGGCACACTGTTGGCTTATATTCAGCTCATTGTCCACTCTAGCCCCCAGGTCAGTCCCCAGCCTGTACTGGTGCATGGGATTGTTCTATCCTAAGTGCAGGACTTTGCACTTGTCCTTGAGCCTCATGAGATTCCTTTTGGCTCAGTCCTCCAATTTGTCTAAGTTGCTGTGAATCCTAGCCCTACCCTCTAGCATATCTACTACTCCCTTCAGCTGGGTGTCCTCTGCAAACTTTCTGAGTATGTACTCTATGTCATCTTCCAGGTTGTTGAAGACATTGAACAAAACTGGGCCCAGGACTGACCCCTGGGGCACTCCCACTTGACACCAGTTGCCAACCAGACATCAAGCCATTGATTACCCTCTGAGCCCGATGCTCCAGCTAGTTTTCTTTCCACCCCTCAGTCAATTCATCCAGCTCATACTTCCTTAGCTTGCCTGTGAGAATATCATGGGAGACCGTATCAAAAGCCTTGCTAAAGTCAAGGTACACCACATCTACTGTTCTCCCCACATCCACAGAACCGGTTAACTCATCATAGAAGGCAGTCCAGTTGGTCAGGCATGACTTGCCTTTGGTGAATCCATGCTGACTGTTCCTAATCACCCTCTTCTCCTTCAAGTACTCAGAATTTGATTCCTTGAGGATCTGATCCATGATTTTTCCAAGGACTGAGGTGAGGCTGACTGTTTTTTCACAGTTTCCTGGATCCTCCTTTTTCTCTTTCTTAAATATGGGCCCTACGTTTACTCTTTTCCAATCATCCGGGGCCTCTCCTGATTGCCATGAGTTTTCAAAGATGATGAACAGTGGCTATGCAATCTCATCAACCAATTCCCTCAGCACCCTCAATTGCATCCCATCCAACCCCATGGACTTGTATATATCCAGCTTTTCTCAATAGACCCTAATGTGTTCTTTTGCCACTGTTGGCTGCTCATCTCCCCCCCAAACTGTGCTGTCAGGTGCAGTAGCCTGGGAGCTGACCTGGCTTGTGAAGACTGAGGTAAAAAAGCCATTGAGTACTTCAGCCTTTTCAGCATCATCTGTTACTAGGTTGCCTCCCCCATTCAGTAAGGGACCCACACTTTCCCTCATCCTCCTCTTGCTACCAACATACTTGTAGAAACCCTTCTTGTTACTCTTCACATCCCTTGCTAGCTGCAACTCCAATTGCGCTATGGCCTTCCTGACTTCATCCCCGCATGCCCAAGCAATGCTCTTATACTCCTTCCCAGTTATTTGTCCAAGTTTCCACTTCTTATAAGCTTCCTTTTTGTGATTAAGTTTTCATTTGCTAACTGAATTTCTCTACAAAGTCTTTCCATCTCTAACCTTTAATTATTGCATGGTCAGTGTGACAGGTCCACTTGTCTGTTCTTACCCAACTCCTAAAATGGGGGAGCGGAAAAGGAAAAACATACAGGATCTAAACAAGAATAATAGGATCATGCTTCAAACAAGGCAGCCTACCAGGAAGATCTTCATTTGGGGAACGGTGAAGTGAAGGACAGTGTTGTAGCTTACAATTTTGTGGATCAACACTCTTAAGGAACACTTAAACACTGCTGAGTTATAAAATGTTGGCATAAGGGCTCATCTAAATTGCATCAATGATTTCCAGAACAAAGGCGCTTGCTCCAAAACCAGGAAGGAGGGAAAAATATCACTGCCAGCCCTGAAATCTCTATGGGGGGCTGTCTTCCTTCTCTTGCAACATCCTCAGGCCAAATCAGTGCCTCCCTTATGCAAACCCATTTATTTTCTGTCATGCTCATGCTGCAGGTAGGCAGATGTGACCAGTCAGTGTCTGCACAGTTGGAAGTGATGGGAATTGGTTAAATATTTCTGATTTATGCATGAGGAGGAATTGGGAACAGATTATCTGTGGTGTTTATCTCCTCAGAGCTTATGGCAGTAAAAATACCTTTATATATGTCATAAAGCTCAGCAGGTATAACTTTGCAAACACACGGGAGATTCACTATAACAGCCAGTTCTCAGAGTGGAGCTGCTCTTTAGCAGCTGGGAAATTGCCTACATCCCATTCTGATATATTAGAAGGGCGATGCACACAGCCCAGTAGTGAATGGGAAGCGTGGCTTTTATTGCTGCCTTACTTATTAAAAGTAATATTTAAATGCCTTTACAGGCTATGAAGTTAACTCCGGCGCTATCAGTTGGAGGTGAACAATCAAACCATGGCCACCACCATAGACATGTGTGCCCAAATCATCAATTTCCTAGAGCTTGGGGATGAGAAGAGACGGACCTCAGCAGCGCACAGCAGGGCAAAAGCATTATGGTGCATGTAGGTGCCATCTTCTCCCACTGCCTATGCTTAAGCAGGACTTGTTTTTAGAAGCACTGGGGCAGGAAATGCCTAACACATTTGTCACTGATGACTCTCGTGAGCAAACACCCAGTACCATGAGAGACTTAGCTAATAGGACAGTGTTCAGCTGGCATAACCGGTCATAGCTCCATTGAAACCAGCTGAACAGTAACAATTTACCCCAGGTGAAAGTCTGCCCTGGGCTCATTCTTACAAGTGAAAGTTGAGGATTTAATTCTCTACAGTGCTTTGAACATTCACTCTCTTCTCCTTTGCCCCTTAAAAGGGTCAGTCCTAAAACAAAGCCCATTTTAAAAGAAATGAATGTGGAAAATGTGAAACAAAGACCACCTTTGACAGTGTATTTTACAGAGCTTGTGGCATAGAACAGGAGAGTGGAGGAGAAGCCATTGTGTATGTTGAGGAAGTCTAAGAATAAAGATTATAGGGAAACAGTCTACCTTTCTTTACAAGGCCTTGATTTACGTCCCTGAAATCTCAAACTTAGCTATTACAATGAAGTCCTGTTGCAGACAGAGCAGCTTTTTTATCACCACTTAAAATCTAATTAATCCGTATTGAAGCACAAAGATTTCTGTTGTATTTTAGGGTGAGGGGTCATAGAGCCTTCTTTGTTCATCCTCAGACTTGTAATCATCAGGCATTGGGATATAATTTTACCAAGCAAATTGGAAGGTAACAGATCAAATCCTTATCAGAAAGCCTAACTCATGGTTTAGCAGAGTCCTCCGTCCTCTACATGAAACATTATATTCACCAAGAACAAAAAAGCATTTCAGAACTTTCAAAGGGTTAATATCAAAAGCTTATATTCAGGGCAGCAGAGAACTAAGAGCATCATAGCTCCAACCACCACAAAAGATAGGTGCTCTTATAGAGCTGCAGGGTAGACATTCCTCCTACAGCTCTTAGGAGACTGTTCTCACAATGACTTTAGTCCATAGAACTATGATGCAATTAAGTGGCATTTTGGTTTCTTTTTTAGGATGGGTTCTATCCTGCCTCACCACCTATCTACCTCAATGGAAAAATCTCAATTTAGAATTAAATGAATTGGAGATCTGGACCATGGGACTCTGGCAAGCTTGTGTTGTCCAAGAGGAAGGAGGAATACAATGCAAGGATTTTGATTCTTTCTTGGCTTTGCCTCCTGAGCTCAGGATTTCTAGGATTTTAATGTTTTTTTCCAATGGATTAGGACTTCTGGGCCTCTTGCTCTCAGGCTTCGGGTTGGACTGTTTGAAGGTTGGTGAGAGACAGCAGGAACTAAAGAAACGGCTGCTACTGCTTGGAGGAATAGTATTCTGCATATCGGGAATTACAGCCATAGTCCCAGTTTCTTGGGTTGCCCACACTACAGTCCAAGAATTTTGGGATGAGACTATCCCAGATATTGTCCCCAGGTGGGATTTTGGGGAAGCACTATTTATTGGCTGGTTTGCTGGATTTTGTCTTATACTAGGAGGGTTATTGCTTAATTGTACAGTCTGTTCAGCTGAAATCCATTCATCCTCTGTCCATTATGCAGCAGCAGAAGTACAAGATCACTGTCAACACTTGGAAACTGAAAATAGACCTGAAAATCTAAGAGCTTAAGAAGTGTAGAAGGACTCTTCTCTTTACAAACTCTGCTTGTTCCAGCAATGATTCAAAGGACTCTTTGTTACCTAGTTTATTCACTAAACTTGTGTGTCTAATTCTTTCTTCCTTTAACTGTTATTTCAAAGCACTGTTTTCCCTCACTTGTGAAACAAAAGATTTAACAGTTCTTCAGCAGGACATTAAAGCTACCATGGACTGTGGAGAAGAACCACCACAACTTTGTTTGCTGTCTAACTGAGCTGTGAAACCCCCAAAAAGAATAAGCATGCTCTTTTTATAGTTTGGTTGACAGCCAAAATGTAAGTTTCTTTTTCATATGAAATCAATTAAATGAGATTCAGAGCTTTTATTTTTCATTCCCAATAGCAGAGTCCTCTACCTACCTAGTGCGGAATATATGCAACTCTTAAATTTCTTAAAAGCATGTGTATTCTGGGTGTAGACACTCTACAGAGAGAGTCTATGTAGGAACTGTGTTAGTGTTCTAGGAACCTAGAATTTTCTTGGATAAACCAACAAAACTTGCAGAGAGTAAGGTTTGTTCATACATTAATTTTTTTTTTTTTTTTAGTTTCTTAATCCTACATTGTAATTCATCAGTATTCCACGCTACCTGGACAGCTAAGTTTTAGATTGAGATAGAGTGATCTCATAGACAGAAAAATTAAAATGGGTCTTCTACACCTGCATATATTAGACACACGCAAACAAAATTACAATACGAGTGGCTGGAAAATATTTAGATTATTCTTGTACATGCCAATACATTGATTGTAATACATGGGTTGAAACCTGATAAATATTGCTTTTATTTTACTACATGCAGCCCATATTTGTTAAAATAATTTTAGCACGGGCTCATCCAAACACCCTGTACTTATGGCTTTTATTCAGTTTGTTAATTGTATTTCTAACTATTGAGATGCCAGATCTTCATAACTGTTAAAACCTTTTCATTGGGATAACAACTCCTTCTTCTTAGCAGTCATATAAAAGATATTAAAGAACATGACTTTCTATGGAAAGACCAGCTTTTTCTGCTGCAAAATAAAGCACATGGAATGTAAGATCAGTTGTAGCCACACCTGTCAATTAATAGTCTACCACAGTATTTCCTTATATTCAAGGCAATTCCACACGGAACCAGATGATCTAAAATCTGGCAAAAGTCCTTTTTCTAAAACAGTATATATAGGAGAGACTGTTCCTCTACTTACTTATACATGTTATTCCCTATTATATTCAGCGCAACAAGGAACTGAACAGAGGAGAGATCTGTAGGCCCGGATAGAGACATTTCTAATGCTTTTATGGCTACTATAAAAATGGCTGTAGCTCACAGACGTTGGATGCAACTATCTGGAATGTTATTCTCTTTGCTAGGGTGGGTTTTAACTGGTTCCTGTAATTACTTGCCAGACTGGAAAAATCTCAGCTTTGATATAAACGAACTGGAGACCTGGACCATGGGACTCTGGCAAACCTGTATAGTCCAAGATGAAACTGGAAGAACACAATGTAAGGATTTTGATTCTTTTCTGGCTTTGCCTGCAGGAGTTCAGGGTTTCCAGAATTTTAATGTGTACATCAAATGTGCTAGGATTTCTGAGTCTCCTGCTCTCTTGTTTTGGTTTGGACTTCCTGAAGATGAGAGACACACAACAGCAACTCAAGAAAGGACTGTTACTGTTTGGAGGAATAATTTTATGGCTATCTGGAGCTTTGACCTTAGTTCCAGTTTCTTGGGTTGCCCATGTTATAATACAAGAATTTTGGGATGAGGATATCCCAGAGATTGTCCCCAGATGGGAATTTGGGGATGCACTATTTACTGGCTGGTTTGGTGGATTCTTTATATTTGTAGGAGGGTCAATACTTACGTGCACAGCCTGTTCACCTACAGATCCTCCATCATCAGAACGTTACTCAATGGCAGAAATGCAGGATATTCATCAACACTTGGAAACTGAATACTGAAGCCTTTGGAGAAGGGTAGCAAGTGCTACCAGCTTCTTCTAATATTCTAACCCAAGATAAGATGCCTTTCAGTTCAAGATTCAGAGGTTTACGTTAATATGCAGTGACTACCCAGAAGATAATCTCTCTCCTTCCTTTTCTTCTTTTTTCATTTTTTAAACTTTTGTGCCTTGACCACTTTAAAATCCATGTTCTTCCTGCAAGTCTGGTAAACTCATTTTTAATCTAAATTTTGATTTTATTTTATTTCTACATTAATGATCTATTTACTTTGATGGTGTCTATCTATGGTAGAGCTTTATAATCATTGCAGATTTAATGGAAAAGCCTGGCACTTTCTAGTTTTAAGAATGTGAGGTAAATTTTTAATGTCCTGAGCAGTTTGTGTCAAATGGCCAAGTTTAATTTAACCTATGAAAATAGAAAAACATCTCAGTAACTCTGGCACCTAACTCTTAGTGACTCATGTTCTTAGTTTTGCTTTTTTTTTTAAACCTAATTTGGTAAGAAAGGGGTGAATTTGTTGTGCCCAGAAAGAACAGGCAAGGAAGCTCAGTGCCCCTCAAACATTTTAAGCAAAGCCAATGGAGCTGACTCCCAGGTGCTGTAAATTTTCAAGATCCATCACTTTGCATGGAGCTATGACCATTTGCACCATGTGAAGATCTACCTCAGATGTAAATGATCTCTTGGGCTGAGGTGAGACAGAGGAGGGGACAAAAGCAACAGAGGTTCTGGATAAACTCATCTACAAGTTGTTGAAATCCTGTCTTAAGAATCAGTATATTTTTAATGCTCCCATTTTACATATTCCATAGTTATAGGCATCACAAAAGCACCACACGTACAAACACACAGCACAACAACTCATACTCACAAGAGACCCAGGTGTCTTGCATGAGTGTGAAAGTCACTGTCTTTCCTGGCAGTCGCATTGGCTGTTCACTTTATATCCATTGAAGAACTGAGTTTAAGTGAGAAACTGAGAACGCTTCTGCTTTGAGCCTAAGAACTATGTGCAATTTTTTTAAATAGTCCTAGCAATTAACGTTTCTGAAGCTGACAAATACTAAGCAAACATCTACTTCTGCAGTGACTGAGCCAGCAATTAGAATGGACAAAAAAAAAACAGTAAGTCAGTGCAACAGCTTTGTTAAAAAATTGTATTTTTTTCCAATCACTGAAACACATGGAAAGTGCAGAGACAAAAATTCATCTACGTGATGTAGTTGCATACTTTGTTATAGACAAAACAGAAACACATTCGGAATATAACCTGATTAAATATTTAGTTCAGTCCTGAGCATTTGATATTTAATATAGTATAAACATTGCAATAGTAAAAAAAAAAAATTAAAATTAATTTGATTTGTTTCGTTTTACAATTTCTGCTAAACTTTGTCCATTTGGCTAAGCAATAATATTGTTTTGTACTTGTAATACTTAGATTTTGATACACACAGTTGTAATAACATACTGATAATTGAGACAGGAGAGCTAAATGTTACATTTTTTACCCTGTGCAGGGTAAATTCTGCTACTTTAAGAGTAATATGTATAAGTTTTAGATTTCATATAGGTTTGTCCATATCCATTTTAATTCAGCATATTTAATGTTTCATCAGTGTGAATAATTTGAATTAGCTATATAAACAAAAAACATAATTGTTAAAAGCTGCTTATAAATAGGTTTGTAATACTAGTGAGGACTTGGAAAGTAAGGAGAGAGTCTACATTCCTAAGCTGGCCTCATTTTAAAAATGAGCAAATTTTGCAAACTGAAGCCAACAGAACTTAGTCCGGGCCACACCTATAGTTACCAGTCAAACAAAATTTACTTTAATACTCTTGTGAATGTTGTTAGGATCACCTAGTCAGACAAAAATTTAGAATATTGAAAACATTTCTCATGATAACCTCTTTAATGTCAAACATTTTAAATGGAACTGAACTATATTAAACGGAACATAAATAAGACTGTAAATAAATAAAAGAAAATAAATCATAAGGTACAACACTCTACACATCATTCTACAAACATATTATATAATCAAATTGAGAAGCTGAATCAGTCAACCTTCATTTCACCTCTACGTTAAATAATTTCAAACTTTTGTTCTTAAAATTGACCTCACAAACATCCATGTTATCTTTTTCTTTCTAGTAGTCTTTTAAAAAATAAATGGGGCATGCATGAAAAAAAATCATGCTCAGTCAGTTAACCTGACTGACCTCTTGTTCAAAACAGTGTGGCATCCAGTTATCGATTTAAACAGTTTGAGTCCACAGATGTATTTGTGCATAACAAGAAAGCCCTTGATAAGCTTAACACACACAATGCTGGGCACGGAATTTTCTTACTTTGAGCTTAAGACATTTGCGAATACACTGTTCTCTCCATCTTTCTACTTCACTAAAATTACTTTCTGAAAAAGTAAAGTACCACGTGTAGATAGCTTGTCAGTGTGGTCTAGAGCTTGGAAACAAAGTTTCTATCCAAAAAATGGGGAAAAATAATCTAGCATAACATTTTGGGAGAAAAATGTCTGAAGCCATGGATTGCAGATGCAAACAGATTAGTTACGTTCTTTTGAAGATAAAATCAACTCTAGAATGTCTTTTTCTGAGACAGGTTGCTGTAAATACTGAGAAGCAGCCCTATGCAGGATTTCAAGGGCTTATGACAAGCACATCCACATTGTCTTTTACCTTTTTGTAACAAAGATTCTGGACAAGTACGTTAAAATTCTGTTTGGAGAGATTGTGCACATTTACTTCTGATAGCTGTCAACTTAAACCACCGTCACTCTGAAAAGCAGCTTGTGTTCTGCATATTAAAAATCTGAGAACTGTGTAGCACATATCCCACAGAAATATTTTAAGCCTACTACCCAGGGACTTTATGCATTTCTGTGTCACCAGTACTTGAAACAATGAATTCATTAAGAGCGTACTTGGTAAGGGGTTTTCCACCCTATTTTGACAACAGCACAATTTTTTTTAAAGTGTTTGTAAACCTGAATTTTCCCCTCCCTCCCCCTATATTCCTAGTTACCAAAACTAGAGAACATTTAGGACATTTAAATGCAAGGTTTTTAGCCTGCAGCATACAATTACTCAGATTTAAACACTTTGATGTAAATTCAATTCAGCTTCAAAAAAGCAGCTGCCCTTTTGGTAACTTCAGTTGAACAAGATTTTAGGATTACAGATTGCCCCCTCCCCCATCCTCCCCCCTCAATAGATGCAGGGGCCCATGAAACCTTTAGTGCAGCCCAAAGTACTGTACATTCACACAGTTATACTTGATACTCTATGTTCCTTCTTCATGCAAATAATAATAAGGACAGAAAGGAAAAGGGTTTTGTTTTTTTTTCCAGAAACAAAATCCCCATGTAGGTGACGGAATCTAAACAGCACCTGTTATTAAGGCAGCTTTGCTGTTTTGGAAAGGAGCTTGTACTTGTGGTTAACTTCAAACTATAAAAGTCACACTTGTATAAAAATATTGCATGGCTTATCAGCCATCTTCACAGTCTGCTCACATGAAAACAGTGAAAAGATAAACAATCTTCTGTTGAACATAATATTCTCAACACAGTGCGGTTCAACAGGATACACACTTGGTACTGCCTTTGTTCCATCTTTACAAAATAAAAGCGCACACGCAATACATACAAACTGTACAAAATTAGCATCAGTGTACCAGAATTATTCTACTTTGGTTTGCTGGCGGTGGTGGTTTGTATTTGTTATTTTTTTTTCTTTTTTTAAACACGAAAATTCAGTTCACTGTATTATACAATACATATATCTATAGCTGAATGTAAAATAGATCTTTAAAAGCAGGCAGCTAGAACTACAAAAATTCATCTAAAAAAGATGAGCAAGTGGAAAAATACTTCAATGAAAAATGTAATTACACATCATCAGCAGGTAGGGATGGTATGCTGATCTTTGCTCTTGTAAAGTATGCAATCTTCTCCCTAGAATTAGAAAAGAAAAGCCATTTACTGTTTTCTGCTGAAGTGATAAGTGGATCAAATGTCATAGGAATGCCAACAGCATCCTGTACAGTATGTGTAAAACGTAAGAGCACAGACCTTTCAAATGTAGGTTTCACAGTATCCAGTGCACATGCCTGCAAGGACAGCTACTGCCAGAAGCATGGAGGAAAGGTCTTCCTATACTAGGCATATTTATGAAAATATGAACATTCCAGCATGAATGGAAAACTAGTTTTTCAACTGCAATGCTGAGAGGAACAATAGACCTCCTCATCAAAAATACTGACCATAGTAACTATATATCTTGATGTGGCATTGGAAAGGAAAGGAAATATATTTTTGTCACTGTGAAATGTCAAAGCAGCATTTGATATCTGATCCAGATTTTTAGAAAGGCAATTACAAGGGCAATCTAGAGTGAGACAGTAACAGCTGGACAAACCACCGAAGAGGCAGGTATAATTGTCACTATGTCTTCCAGGTGCTTCCCTTAATCTATCATCACCTCAGTCTTATCTGGATTGTGCTTTGGCTAGCAAGAACATCCATGCACTAGTTTCAGCCAGGCACTGAGCCAGACGTTGAACAGCACTGGATGGCTTAAAATAAGGACAGAGAACTGGGTGGCAATAGCATATTGGAAGTATGGCAGCCCACACCTCCACACTAATCCTCCCTGCAGCCCAATGAACTGTAAAAACATGGGGACAAAACAGAATTTTGACAATGTCCTGAGGGGATAAGGTACAATATTACATTTGAGGGATGCTCACTGAAGAAGGACCAGAGCGTGCCAAAGAGTAGCTATGCCTACTTCCACTAGTCTGCAGCTAACATTTTATTGATGAAAACATGGAAAAGTCTGGAAAATGGTAGTAATGTTTTCATATAATCTTCAGCACAGATACCAAGTCCTTATGCATTCCACTTAGTCTCTTTGAGCATCTACACGCATGCTCCAGCATGGCGATAGGGGCGGGGGGTGCTTTTAATTAGAGCTCCTCCCAGACAGCCACTCTAATTGAACCACTGCAGCGTTGTGTGTATTCAGCATCCCATGTTTCCAAATGGCTGCAAGATCATCGTTGTTTGATGAGTTTTAGTTCATAGATTCATAGATTAAGGGTCGGAAGGGACCTAGTAGATCTTCTAGCCCGACCCCCTGCCAGGGCGGGAGAACAACAAAAAAACCCCAAAAAGAGAAACGGGACTCAAATGAGTCCAGCCAGGTAGGCATCCAGCCTCTTCTTAAAGACCCCCAGGGTAGGGGCCAGCACCACTTCCCTTGGAAGTTGGTTCCAGCTCCTAGCCGCCCTAAC